CCAGATTGAGTTTTTTTTTGTTTTTTTATTTTATTTGTGAGAAATTAGACTTCTGACTTCGAAATTTATAGTGCTGTGAAAACCCATAACCTAATCCGCCATGTTTGGCTATATTATTTCCCCACCACAATCTATGTTTAGAACCCACAACCTGCTCAGGTTCTTTTGTCACCACATTTTTAGAATCACTCTAAATACAATACATTTAATATTCAAATGAAAATGTTCATATACAACAACTAATTTTATGGGAGATTTAGTCTAGGGATGGCAACGGGTCCGGGTCGGGGAGCCATCCTCATCCCCGGCCCCGTCCCCGAAATTTTGGGGGCGGGGATGGGGTGAGATTCCTCGATCAGGGATGGGTTCCCCACGGAGATCCCGTCCCCGATTTTATTATTTTTATTTTTTTTAAATAATTGATAAATATTTTAATTCTTTAGAAAATATATACTTTTTTATGGAATAATGTAAAATTTCATCAAATACAATGCAAAGTAAAAAACTATTTATAAAAAATAATATATATTAATACTATTTTATATACATGAAATAAATTTTAATAAAATATTAAACGAAGACGGGGCGGGGAGACCTCCCTCCATCCTCGCCGGGGACCCCAATTAGGATCCCCGATTTGACCCCGTCCTCGGTCAAACTAGGGATTCCTTGACCCAATCGGGTCCTGCGTGTTTTTTTTTACAATACAAAAGAGGACGTATTGCTGAAATTTATCGCGTTGATGAAAAAGGTCGTGAATGTTGCATCATGATCCGTGATGGATATTAGTAGTACTTTATATAACTACTAACTAGTAAGAAATATGTGTGTTGCACATGAAAATTGTAGTTTTATTTTAAAGTATAAAGAAAAGGTTAGAAAATAAGAAATTAGTAAACATAATAAATGATCAACATCAACAAGTCCAGATCGTATAGCCTATCAAGATCAATAAGTCCAAAGGCTGATCAAGATCAACCAGCCGCCAAGTGTTCGATCATGATCAACAATTCTAGAGGCCGATCAAGATCAACATCAAGCCAGAGGCCGATCAAGATCAACATCAAGCCAAATTCTGATCAAGAT